ACCTTTCTTAGAGTTCATATACCAATGGTTTGGTTATCTCGGTTATTTCTAGTTTTGGTTATCAAACCAACACTGGTTTAGCTGTTTTAATTCAAGCCACATAATTTTGACACCTGTATTTCTGTTTCGCATTTGTTAGGTTGTTGTAAATCTGTTTTTCATTAGATTCCTTTTCTAGTTGTATATAAACAGTGTAAAGGGAACGATTAATGCAAGTGAGAAAATTCAGAAACTTTTCAGTAAACTTTCTTTTCTGATTTCGTTTTCCATATGGTATCAGAGCGTGAATAGTCCTCTGCTCACTCTGTGATTTTCCCCTTCTCGCTATTTCTTTTGTTTATACATGGCGTCTTCACCAGAAATCGCAGAATCTATTCCCAGTTCCATTCCTCTGGGTTCGGCTTCTTCGAGCTCTTCGAATCCTCGGGATCCCTATTCCGATCCTCTTTTTCTACATGCTGCCGATTCGTCCAGCGTATTTCTCGTTTCGGAGAAGCTTCGGGGTGAGGCCAACTATGGCGTTTGGTCACGCGATGTTCGGAAGGCTCTTTTGGCCAAGAATAAGCTTGGTTTTATTCTCGGCACTCTGCCTCAACCAGTGGACAATGAGGAAGACTCAGGTTCGTGGTTACGTTGCAATGCTATGGTGGGTACTTGGTTGAACAACTCTGTTTCTCCAGAAATTCACACTTTGATCTCTTATATGGAAGATGCTCATGAAATCTGGACCCATTTACAGCGCTGTTTTCATCAGACTAACGTTTCTAAGATTTATAGCATTCAACATCAGATTGACAATTTGTATCAGGGTTCTCTTGATCTGAACACATATTTTACCAAATTAAATGCCTTATGGGAAGAGTTGAAACATTATGAGCCTTTGCCTGTCTGCTGCTGTAAGGGTTGTACTTGTGGGGGGTGCAAATGTCGTATTGCTGATCAGTGGTCAAGTCTGTTTGCTAGACGGAATGTTGTCCGTTTTCTGATGCGTTTGAATGATTCTTTCTCGGCTGCTAGACGTCAGATCTTGATGACTGACCCTTTACCTGATATTACCAGAGCTTTTAACCTTGTTGCTCAGGAAGAGCAGCAGAAACTTAATGTTTCGACCATACCAGATGCTGTTGCCTTCCAAACCACCACAAATACCTCCCGTTCTTCTTATGCTTTCCCTTCTTCCATTCCTCCCACCAAGCCTTCTATCCCTGTTTCTTCCAACTCTCGCCCTAGACCTGTTTGTTCACACTGTGGTATAACAGGACACGTTGTGTCTCGTTGCTTTCGTCTTCATGGCTATCCACCAGGCTATAAGACAAATTCTGGATGGAATCCCCGCTCACCCTCTAAACCTCGACCTCAGTCCTTTGATAAGTTTCAGACCAGGGTGAATATGGTTGATTCGGCTGTAGTTCCTACTGATACCTCAGCACGAGTTGTTTCCAGTGATCATGCAGGACAGAACACTTTGGAGCAGGTTCAGTCTCTTTTAGCTCAGCTGTTTTCTCAGCAAAAGGGTCAAGGTCCCTCTGTCATGGACTCAAATTTTGCTATGCCTACTCCACCCTCACCAGGTATTATACTTTCTCACTTTATTTCTTCCACCTCTGATTCATTTCTTACCTTTCCCTCGGCTGTTTGGATTTTAGACACAGAAGCTAGTACTCATGTTGGTTGTGATTTGGACTTGTTCTCTGAGATTCATGACATACCAGCTGTATCTGTATCACTCCCAAATCATACTTCCATTTCTGTTTCTCAATCTGGAACTGTTATACTTTCTTATATTTAACCAGAGACACTATTTGCAAGGGAATTAAAGATCATAATTTGTTTTGGGCAGCCCTACACAGCCTCTTTTATTACTTGGTAAATCTTATATTTAACCAGAGACACTATTTGCAAGGTAATTAAAGATCATAATTTGTTTTGGGCAGCCCTACACAGCCTCTTTTATTACATTTATGAACATGGGAAGTGTCAGAAAATTTTAACTTACGCGGAGATCTACAAAAATAGTCGATTTTATAAAAAAGCTATAAAAATCGGTACCATTTGTTACAAACTAGGAGCTACAGGTTGAAGATTCAAATGATTTTATATGTATACAGGAAACATATTTTTATAAAATTAGTGGATTAATTTGGACAAAGTCTAATGTGATGGACCGAATTATTCAAAGAATTAGGACAAAACCAAAACCAGCGCAGCATAAAAAGAATGAAACAAACTCATCATGCATATAGTTTAATTTTGGTGGGTAATTTCTTAATTAGTGGATAATGATGAAATGAATACGAGAATGATAATATCTCACAAACTTAGATTTCTTGTAACTTTGGTTTTTCCTACAACTTCCCACCATAACTAATTTCTTTTATATACACAAGCGTGGTCCCCACCCAATCACAACGTTATCATAATGCAACAAATCCTGAAGGCATTATTCTATTATGTCACCGCGTTACATTAATCATTAATTTGTACTTATTCCCCTTACTTCAGAATAATAATTTTTTTAACAAATTTCTATGAAACGACTATCTATTGGAATAAAATCAAACAGGCCGATTAAATTGGATACAAGGAAAAGCTTCAAGGAATTATTAATCGATCAGACCAATTTGTTCCAATGATTTTACAACGAACAAAGTCCGATTAATCCTACAACTAATGGAAATCTGAAGTTATTTTGCAACTTCTTGTTATTTTTCTTTCTTTATATTAAAAAAAATAAAATGATAATCAATAGATTTGAAATTTTAACTAGTGTATGTTTTAATTCAGTTAAAACTCTCTTTCTATATATATATATATATATGTGTGTGTGTGTATATATACACGCACACAAACACACCTACACACCATATATAATACCAAAAATCTCTCTCTCTCTCTCTCTCTCTCTCTCTCTCTCTCTCTCTCTCTCTCTCTCTCTCTCTCGTAGTGACTCGTGAGGATTCGCCTAGAGATTTACAAAAATATTATACCCTTTTAGGGTTGCTGATATACTAATCGTAAAGAGAGGTTTCGTGTATATATATACATATTTATGGGTTTGAAAGATATTGGGGCAAAACTGCCACCGGGGTTTAGATTTCATCCGAGTGATGCGGAGCTGCTTTGTCATTATCTTCTCAACAAAATTAGATCCAAATTTAGTCATTATGACCATGACCATGATGATGATGGAGAAGCTAATATGAGGAAGGGTGGTAATACTGATCTCGTGGAAATTGACCTCCATACTTGTGAGCCATGGCAGCTTCCTGGTAATCTCATTTTCATTCTGTGTCCACCCATATAACATCGACTACCCATGCGTACATATCGTTCGTACATTCTTTTTTTTTTTTTTATAATACGTGATTTGTCAAGGGTGGAATTCGAACATGAGTGGAACACTCTTTGCACATACCCACTTACCAGTTGAACCAACCACCCTTGGCTTGTTCGTACATTCTTGCTGCTTCATATCTATATCTATATATATATATAGATCCAAACTCTTTTCGTTTGTAGCTAAGAATCTGAACTTATTTTACCCCCAAAGAAAAAGAAAGAGAATATAGAAATCAGATTTTAGTTAATTAATTAGAAACTATAATCATATGTGATTAATTACTTATCGAGATTCTACTGGTGATATATGTGTGTGTTTCGGTTAAAATCATGGAAGAAGATATTTAATTAACAATTAATTGGAATCTTGGCATGTGATTTCTCCTACATTTCAATGCATACATCCTCCATTTGTATAGATAAATGCACGCTGCATGTGCATGTTGTCATAGTTTATATCCTCTCTCTAACTATATAAAATGCCAATTTGTTTAAAAAAAACTATAGAACAAATTCCTCTTGTCCAATTCTAACAAGGAACTTGCGATAAAATATTTACGGATTCTTGTATACGTAATTAGGCATACCCAATGACGTGTACATAAATACAACTTCTGGAATCACCGATTAACTAAACGTTGTTTAATGATGGGTATCGCAATCATGTTATGGATCTTTGTTAATCGGATATATCTATAATATTAGATGATGGCATCCGATACATGCATACATATATATACACGTCCTCCCTATACAATCTTAGTTTCATGCTAAAACATAGATAATAATCAACCCTCTTACGCATATATAAAACATGGCACATACACGAAAATTTATTTAAATTTCGTTTGTTGATAAATATATTTTTATACAAGATATAATTGCTTTTATTCCATGAGAACAGTTTATCCTTTGGGATGGTGTACACACACCACACTCATATTCATTATGATTTCTTTTTTTCTTTGTTTTTCTTTAATTTGATGACAAATAATAAAAGTAACCTTTTACAAGAATCCCATTTGTCATATTTCTAACCATTTTCAGTTTTTCTTCGAAATGTTGACTTTGTTACAAGGTTGTAAGAAGCAAAGAGTTAGTTAATTAGTTACGTAACAAAGGATTAAAGAAAAGAAAAATGGCCTTGTGTTGTAATTATTAAACACAACGACCCTTTTAATTTGCCCCAAATTACAAGCAACTTTATTCACACAAGAAACCTTCTATAGAAATGATCATAAACCGTTGCATATATACACACAAGATACAGGACACGAACACTTTTTTTTTTTTGTTAACGTTAAATATTATATATATAAACAATCGTATAGAGGAGATTACCAAACGGTAATACAGATATTAGAGTTCACAATAGCAAAAGAAAATAATGAATTTAAGAAGAATGAAAGTGAAATAATAAGCCATAAAAGTGATAAGTGACCGGTGTTACACTGTTATACGGTAAAAGTCAAGACACGAACACATGTTTACTATACAGTATGCACGTTTGTTAATAAATTTTTTTGTGAAAAAGTAAAACATAATTAGTGAATAATTTTAGTTTTTTATATATAAAAGATAATTCGTATTAAAATAGAAAGATATACAAATGAAAATTAACGCGACACTGACAAAGGAATGCTTTAAGATGATTAATTTTCCACCGGCTAAATTCCGAAGCATAATTTATGAAGCGAATAAATTCATGTCTCATCCTTGGCTCACGGTCCATATCGTAAAGATATACAACACTATTGCGATCGATGTGTGCTACTTTACTTTGTTAGAAAGTTTTCGATTCAGCTTCTAATCATAGCAAACCCTTTCATGTTTTATTTTTCGGTGTATTAAATTTGCATGGAAACTACATGAAGAGGGGGCGAAGCTTAACGCGAAAGAATGGTACTTCTTCAGCTTTAGAGATAGGAAGTATTCAACAGGATACCGTACGAACAGAGCCACCGTTTCTGGCTACTGGAAAGCGACGGGAAAAGATCGGATGGTCGTGGATCCTCGAACGAGACGGACGGTGGGGATGAGGAAGACTCTTGTATTCTACCGAAACAGGGCTCCCAACGGTATCAAGACCACTTGGGTCATGCACGAGTTCCGTCTTGAGTGCCCTAGTGCTCCCCCCGAGGTAGTTTCAAATAATTTTCTCTTGGTTTCATTCATCATGCGTTACATATGGATTTTTTTTTCCTAATAATTTTGATCTCCTTCTGCCTAATAACATACATAAGACAGAAAACCAGATAGCTTTCTTTTTAAAAAAATGTTGGCTAAATGTACGCATGGATTAGGTCATGAGCATGTTTGTATATATGCGCGTTCTTCCATATTCATGCATGACGCATAATGATATGATTACATGGGGAAAATATTGTCATTTACTGATGCAAAGCATCACGCACGAGTGGGTTAAAGGGAGGAAAGAGACGAAAGTGGCTTTTAATGTTGTTTGGTCATTTCCATGCATGCACGTGGCGTTCATGCATATACACCACATGCATTACATTTTCGTTTCGGGAATGTGGACAGGAAGACTGGGTCCTGTGCAGAGTCTTCAACAAGTGCAAAGAATCTCAAATTGAAGACAACGAGTCAAGGTTTGCTAGTTCCACTCCTCCTTACGCCACTAATTACACCCAGATGGCACGATCATCCCCTCCATTGCGCAATAATGATCACAACCATCATCGTGAGATCCCATGTGGATGGGAGCAGATATACCGGCCATCATCATCCCCTCCGTCGAGCAACATCGACCATCCTGAAGATCAAACGATGAAGATTCCATGTGGTTGGGATCAGATGATGGGGTTGGTCTCCTCATCTTCCAGTCACGGTCCTCAGACTCACGAGTCTTTGTTGAACCTGCTTTACGGCAGTGGCCTGGAGTTTTGTGACGATGAGAATGACTATGGAAACGTGTTCTCCGGCATGGATTTGGAGAAGGGATCATCGTCTTCTGATGGTTTGGTATCTGATATTCACTTGGAGAACGATAGGTTGAGCTTTGAGATCCACAAAACTACGGTAGCATTCCACTACCAATGAAAGGGAAAAAGAAAGAAGATATACATATTTATATATAATTACAATTATATCCACGGATAAGATATGCATGTACATATGTGATATTTGGTGTGTCGTTTAGTTTTTTCTTTTTAAATTTGCCATCAGGAATTGGTCGTTAGTTGTTGTAAATATCATTGTCAACATTATTCGTTATTGATTATAAAAAAAACGTTATTCGTTATTAATTGGTCCAACATTGCGTACATATCGAATGGGCATTATAAAAAATGTCCTTATTTTGCTACATGAACTTTATGGCATATCCTTCACTTGCGGAAAAAAAAAAACATCTTCAGACAATACCTTTATAAAATTGTTCTCTCCATAATACCCTCGACACCTTTTTTTAATCTCTCGATTTGCGTTTCTCTCTCCTCACGCAGTTTCCCACCTTCTCTCGCGATAAATTCCCGCCGAAAAAAAACCAGAAATTACCGGCGAAATCACAGCTAATCTATCGGCAAAATCCTTCGATTTGTCTCGCGTTTCTCTCTCTTCTCGTTTCTCTCCCCATAAATTCTCGCCGAAAAAAACCAGAATCTACCGCCGAATCTATCGGCGAAATCTCACCGATTCTACCGTCAAAATTGCCTCAAATCACAGCAGTTCAGTGAGATCTGTATAGATCTAGGAAAAAGGCAAGTTGTCATCGCACAACCCAGTATTTATTTTCGGTTTAACTCGACCTAACATGTGTATAGATATGACCTCATTTTTCTTATATATATCACTAAAACCGGTATTGAATGGTCACGTTGGTCACACTGGTCACGTTGGTCACGTTGGTCACACTGGTCACGTTGGTCACACTGGTCACGTTGGTCACTCTGGTCACACTGGTCACTTTGGTCACTGTGGTCACTTTGGTCACTGTGGTCACTCTGATCACTTTGGTCACTCTGGTCACTCTGGTCACACTGGTCACTTTGGTCACTCTGGTCACATG